CATAACGCGCGTCGCGTCGTCCTCCGGAGACGCCTACAGCGTTAATATTTTACGGCGAAGCTGGCCCAGACCATGGTGGAAATGACACGCGTATGGCGCCTTATAATGTCATTGCACATGGGTACGGCAATAGACCGAGACACGATGGGGCGGGCCCCGACGTTGGAATTAATCATCGCGAAGACCGCGTGCACACGGTATATGCGCGCGCGAATCTCTCGTAACTAGACGAGGACCATTTAACGATTTCACTTACCCCATGCTTCTCCGTAAAGCCCGAGCCGATACCGCCGGTATTCTCTCCTCCCTATCGCATCTCTTTCGCTATTCTCGACGACGATTGGCACCTGGCTCGCCGGAAAGCTCGCACCGGGATCGTCGCCGTGCCGTCGTAATTCACATTCACCGACTCTCTATGAAGCGAGGCGATAGGAGGCCATTCAACAATTACGTCACGCTAAATTTAGATATTTTTACCCTCCCCCTTCCCTTCATTACAATCCCGCCGCAAAATATTTGCCTCCTTCCAATAATACGTGACATATAAAGTACGAATAATTTTTCGACATTTAACATCAAATTAATTACTATATATCTTGTAATTTTGATTGGTAAAAGTTGTGCTTTTAAAAGTACAAGTACTTCAAAACTGATGTTTCGGTTATCAACGCAAGACTACATCGAAACTGATACATTTTCACCGAATACAATCAAATACGTCACGAATGCAAACAAAGTGAATAACCACGCGCATTCATATTTACAAGTTATGTCATTTAATGTTGCGACGTTCCGTAATCTTTACTCCCCCCCTCCCTGCCGTCTCACAAGCTAATCCCCCCCCCCCCCTCCTTCTCCTCGTGGTGCAACGTAATTGTTGAATGGTCTTAGAGAGGATACTTTCTCGTTCGTCGGTATTACGATGTCCAGTGCGTCGCCGTGGTTTCCACGAGCGGCGACTCCGCGCGACTCGGCCGTTCCGGCGCATTTTGGTGCGCGCGTGTGTAAAATTGGATAACGCTAACGTACGGTACGCGATAAACGGGTTACCGGTCGTGGCACGGTGTAAAATTGCGAATCTTCGCCGTGCTGTGGGGAGGAGATTGAGGCAGTGGTGCATCAGACGGTGCCGCGCTACAGGCCGGCTCGTAATTGCGCGTTGTCGGCAGAACGTAGAACGAGCTCGCGTTAATGGCGGGCCGAGCGCGCCGGCATGATTTATATCGGCGGCCTATTTAAGCGGCGATTAGCGCTTCGCTTCGGAGTTACGCGCACCGGTCGTCCGCTTTAACAAGCTTAAACTTAAATTACCGTATTAATCGCGCAGCATCGCGCGGATCCGGCCGGCTGAGTGGTGGGTAACAGCCACCTGAGCGGCCGTTCGAACGTGCGGCGCGCGCGCGCGCGGTCATCGCAAACACGTTGCAGGACACCGGCGGTCACCTCGTCAACTGTATTAACGCAACCCCTCCGTTCCCTCCGCGGGTCAGACCGTACGACATCTTGCCGGCAAATTTGCTCGAGTTGCAACGTCACCCGCGGACACGTGCCACCGAGTGCGCGTCGGAGGGAAATTTCCAGGACGAGCGGCTAGGATGACAGAAAGAGAAGAGAGAGAGAGAGAGAGAGATCCGACGGGATCTCGAGGGACACGGGTGGAGCGCTCGCGGGTGGAGCGCTACCGGAAAGGTCGGCCCCGGGTATAGGCTCGCGCGCGCGCGCGCGCGATCGTAAATTTCGTGAAACGACGGTACATCCAGCGAAATTATACATCTCGTAAAGTATTCCCGCCCGGATTCTATAGCGGCCGCCAACCCGTAAGTATTTCGCGTAATATCCTCTCTTCTCCCTGGCCGCCCTTTCTCCGTCCGTTTGCGCGCGGCGCTGTGGAGAGGGCGGAAAAGGGCGGAGAGGGCCGCGATTGTAACGACGAAACGAAAACGTATAAATACGACGACGGTCCGCCGTAGAGAAAAGAAAATGGTAAAGCTCCGTTACGGTTTTGTCGCGGAAACGACGGCAGGTATGGGCTAGTGGATACGAGCAAAATAATATCTCGATATGCTAAAATGATCGAACGTGTTCCCACTTCAAGAGAGCGATAACTACGGCTTTTGTTTTCCGCTCTGCTATTTCCACGTTGCCGGTAGGAAACGAAAATGCAACACGAGATAGAGAGAGGGAGAACACGTCGTGTTTAATTAGCGTTCTTTCGACAGTCACGGCGGGAAAGAGAAACTTACGGGTCGAGTCGCACCGGAACGTATGAGAGAAGTCTATAGAAACGCGGCTTTTATAATGAAAGGTTAGCGTTACCGCTAATTAATTCTATACAGTGAAGAGATTGATTGCCGCATTGTTTCTCCAAACAGTCTCGAGCAACGCGTCTCTGCAATTAAGGCAGCCGTGAATACGAGGAGAGAGAGAGCGAGTGTGTGTGTTCCGCACCCCCGTATTCGTATAAAAATATAAATCACCACGGGAGATACGCGTGCACTTGTGAGTGTGTTTCGTAATCCCATCGTGAACGGGATCTACGCGGCGACGCGTCGAGAGAATCACATCGCGCGACCATTTCCATTTTCTATCTACGTGAAACGTCAGGACGCGTCCGTTCCTTGAGAGACGTAATAGATACGCCGGCCGACCATACGATATCCTTGAACTACGGAAGATAGCAGGGAATCGGATTTACCGGACATGTTCAGCGGCTCGTAAAATCGGATCGTATATTAGAAAATTTTTCGCGGACGTTCGCCGAATCGAAATTCGCCTCGTGACGCCTAAAGCTGAGTATACTGCGAGCGAACAAACAGCGAACGAACATCGAAAGCGAATGTTCGGACAATCGCTTTGGCGTTCGTTGTTTCCTTAGCTGTGATTTGTTTGTACTTTTAGATCCAAGGATTCACTGAGCAACGTAAGAACTTCCAACACTAATGCGGAACGCCACTACCACATGCGTAGCATGTATTCGTGTAGTCAAGCGAAAACTATTGTTATTGAGCACTCAATGAGCTCTTGAACCTGATTGTATAGACTTTTGAATCTAAAAGTACCAACAAACAAATCACGGCCAGAAGTTAACCGAACGTTCGCAAACTTCCTTTTCTATCACCTCGGGAGCGAGTCGGTTCGGAAACGCGAATCAAACTCTTCGAATTTGTTAAGGTCTTCCTATTTCCGAATCGAACGACAAACTTTCACATTCACTGTTTGTTCGTTGTTTGTTCGCAAAATGTGTAAAGTGAATATCGCAATTAGTGACAAAGTCTTATTATGAAAATAAATTAGTAATATATGTTAAGCTAAGTAAAAGCTATGTAAAATTTATTTTGTTCAAGAGTTTGAACACTTATAATAATATTATGTTTTTTTAAATTTATGATAAGATTTTAATTAATTTATAATATTTCCTCAAAAATAATAGAAATATTTAGTGACATATAACTTTAATTTTGCCCCAATTTGGAAATATTTTTAATCTTCGACGGTGGGATTTCAATCTTAGGAAATAACAAAGAAGCATTAGGGAATAACTACAAGGAAATATCAAATATATGTCTTATATTATATAATAGTCAACTTCTAAGATGACGGTAAGTAACAGCTCGAATTGTTAGCGCCGTTGGCAGCACATACACTCCACATTTATAATATTTTAGTATTTATAATAGTTTTTAATTTTATTTAACACTTGTTATAACGGATAATATATAAAATTTAAAATAAAAATACATTTTTTAAGATAAATATAAAATTATATTTTCTGACATATTAAGGAAAATAGGTTTGTCACAAATTGGGACATTCACCTTATCCACATGAACGTGCGGATTCCTTAAGGCGTACATATTTTCCTAACCGTAATAGCGAATGTTTGAATTCACAGTTCGCTCGATATTCGTTTGCTCAGTGTACACCTAGTTTAATGTCGCACGCCACGCACGGCAAAGACTCTCAAAGGACGGCGAGAGAAAATGAGGTGAAAGACCGTCGAGCGGATTAAAGCCACTGCGAGCATTGACCGCCGCGGTGTATATCTCTCGTCTTCGACGAAATCAATTGAGAGATTTTTCGAGTTTGCCCCGAAATGTTGCACCGAGCGGCAGATTCTTTGACGACGAGACTCGGCGAGCGAATCGGCACGGCGGGACGCGACGCAAATCTGTTGCGAGCGGGCAATTGGAGTGGAAAAGTTGGGCGGACGAGACTCTCGGTTTAACCCGGGAACGAATCAAAAATCTTTCTCCAGCCGGGAGACGACTGGCGCTTCCGAACTTTGAAATATAGTACAACTAGAACCGACTATGCAGAAAGATACTCTAACTCGAGTATTTGTAGGAAATAAAAAATAAATTCTTTCTTTTTCTTCTCCCTCCTACCTCTCCTCCATAAGGAAATATTCTGATATCTTGCTTGCTGCTCTCGTGGGACGACCTCTCATTATCGGAATAATTGTATTACTTATCGAAGAAAATTATATTACTAATACATCCAAATATACGATACGTAACGATACGTAAGTTACATTCTTTTTCTCTCATTTCTACGCATTTCTTTTCCTCTCATTACGATCGCGGAATCAGTGAAGTATTTGCGTTCGTTCCTCATTATCTCCGTTTATTTTCACACTTTTCTATCAGTTCCCCTCCAGCGGAAATAATCGAGCGAATTCCCAATTGGCTCTGAGAAAACATTCTTTTCGCAGCGGCGCGAGAACAAACAATCGTACTAGCACCGCCGCTTAAATGTTTTCAACTGTCGGGAGAGCACCGGGCGAGAGGTGAATCCCGGTTGAATCAGATCAAAGGATAAAGTCGTCTTGTTTCCATTGTCATCCAACACTTTGATCTCACGTATACACGATACGTTACTCCTCAACGAAGGACAATGGTATAAAGTTTCCAGTCGTTCTCAATCGCCGCGAGTTTTGAAACATTGTAATAGGATTCCTCGTCGCGACTCGCGTAACATAAAGGATTTATATAGATACTCACCTGACGTGGAAACAGGGATGAAAAGCAGCCGGATTATCCTGTGCGGAGAAGTTCGGCAAAGTACCATGAAGCAGAGCGAGCCGCACCACAAGAAGTATGCCAAACTGCAAACATTAAACGGTCGATGAATTTTCACATTGTTACGGAGAAATATTTCTCTTTTTGAGTATTCGAGCAGCGGAAACATCGGAGCATTCCGTAACAACGTTACGTGCAGATTCGAGAGCTTTCGTTATTCTTACGGCAATAAACTTGCTTCTTTCAGTACCGCGATATATAACTCGAGATTTTTATTACTAATATGAAATACCTGTTACACACATAGAGCTATACAGGGTGTCCGATAATTATCTCGGAATCCGGAAAATCATATATCATTTTTCAACAATCGCAGTAATTAATGAAAAATCAGAAATAATCCATTTTTTTCTTTTTTTTTATAGAGAGTGCGGCCTACTGTTTTACGTGCGATCATTAGCTCATACAGATGAATTAATTCTTCATTAACTGTTGCGATTTTTGCAGAACGGTACATGATTGTCCCGTTCAGTTTAATTGGTTCTATCTGCACGTCACACGGGGAAAACAAATTTTGCTAGAACAGCAAGTTGTTTGTTAATAGAGTGACAACAAAAAGTTTGTTACACGGAAAGAATAATTTTGCTGTTGTAGCAAAACGTCGTTGCGACAACAATAAAATTTGGTTGACGTAACCAAATTATTTTGCTGTCCATATATCAAGCAAACAGCAATTAATACTCTTAACAAATCTTTCTGCTGTTTACATTTTTTTTGCCGTTACTATATTAACAAATAATTTGCTGTTCTAGCAAATTTGTTTTCTCCGTGTACGGATTCCGAGATAATTAGCGGACACCGCGTATATCCGCGCGCGCATGTGCAAATAATATAAAAATTCAAGTGTCTCTTGTTCGATTTGAAGTGCGCTCGCAGTACATTCGTTTAAATCCACGACTCTTGCATTTTATATCGGTAATACCGTCGCGATTGGCTGTCACATACTGTCTCGTCGTGTTCCTTTACATTTTACAAGATAAAAAGGGAGCAAAATAAAACAGCAACCGCGGAGAAGCATGTCCGTGCTGCGATTTCAAGCAACCCCGTGAACGCGGCTCATTGATTCGCCGTGCGATACGCGCACGGCAGCAGAGAGAGACGTAAGAATTTTGCGCAGGAGCACCGAGAACCGTTAGAATTTCACGAAGCAGTGGAATAAATCGAAGCGAAGCCAATGACGCAAAAGCAAAGCGAAACGGCACAGACAGAATTTCGCTCGTGTGTCCGCCGTGTTACGCGTCGCGCCGCAGACGCGATTCTCCCTATCTTTCGACTTTTCGCCGTCTCTCTCTACTCGAGTCGAAATTTCAATCCTACTTTAAATCTAACGTAGCTCTACATTAAATGTTGACAAGTTTTCTATCGTGCTCCTCTGGTATTATTGCCGTTTTCTTCATTTCATTGCTGAATGCGAAACTAAAATTTACACTCCGGAGGACTAAATTTCCCTTGCGACATCAAAGGAGCACTCATTACACTCCTTTGATGCTACAAGTGGGAACTTATTTTCCGTTTCTTCGCTTGAAGACTTAATACAGAATTGACAAAATTTCGACTCGGGTACGTGCGACCTGGTACAAGACGATTAAGCTGATAATACAGCCCAGGACGACGCTACTAATCGATGACAAATGGTAAAGAGCGCGAGCGGCGAGTCACGTTTTCCCGAGTGGTTTAATTAAGACGCGGTTCGCGGGGCTGAATAGCAAAGAACGAGACCGCATTCGCTACCGTCACCGTGGTCTCTCGGTCGCGTCGACGCGACGTCGTCACGTTCGCGTAGAGGATGACACGGGACCGTCCTCACATTTCCGTCACGTCCTCCGCAGAGCTCGCTAACCCAATAGACGTCCGTACCATCCCTCCGATAGACCACTCTCAACCCCTTATTCCGGAGTTATCCGGGGCCACCGTCGCTGGCCCTCTCACTGTCTCCCCATCTTTGTACCTACGTCGCCGGGAGCCCTCTCGCTCGCTCGCATTCTTGTCGGCGGACGGACACGGCGGTGAGTGCCTCTGGAAGCGGACAATATCTGCCAATTCGAGGTATTCATATCCTACCGGATCGAAGTCGTCAGACAAAGGTGGCGTCCGTCCTAAGCAGCCTCGTACGGACATGCACCTCGGTATACACCGGTCGGTCGTCATCGAAACATCGCCGTTGTGTACCACCCTGACGTCCGACACCAATGCCGACCTTGTTCTTTGACGATAGATAGATAGAGAGAGAGGGAGAGAGAGAGACTCCCCGGAATATTGTATTACGTCGCCACGTGATCCCAGGCTGACCCCTGCGCGAAGAACGACGCAGGCGAGGCGGAAATTCAATTCCGATAAATATCAGATGCGCACGAAGCATCGTATCGCATACCGATGCAACTTTTATCTTCTTTTTCTCCCTCTTTTTTTTTTCCCAACGCCGCATCGAAACTTTTAACTATGAATGAACACCCCGGTCGAACGCTTTTTTGCGCTGCAACGCCCGACCGCGGTAACGAAGAGATGAAGTTACGAATATCCTCCCAAATAGATCGCACTGTACGTTCTGCAGTTTGACACTCGTTATTCCTTTACAATTCGCGGGTGTGCGCGCGCGTTCGTTTACTTCTTTTATACGTCTATTAAACGTTTATTACAGACTAACTCAATGGCGGACGTAACGACCGAAGAGAGCAATTGCGATAATGCGTTTTTTCTTATTACTTTATCGATTTCTTATCGGTGGTATGTTTGAGCAACCCCGAGTGTAATGCGTCTTTGATCGCCGATGTCTTAAGGGAATGCAAGACAAACGAGAGCGCTAAACGCTGAGCCAATCAGGCAGCAGTGAACATAGCAATGTACAAACAGTAAACAGCACATGACCTAATGGATTGGCTTATTGATTAGGCTTGTCACTTCGGGCGTTAGCGGTTTGATGCGTCTTTAACTCTTACTCTCGATACAGCCGAAATAACGACGATGACACATCGGCCCTGCGGTGAATTCTGTAATTGAACAAAATTTTATTTATTTCTGTTTTTTTTATTAATCTGTATGTGTGTCGTGGAAATCTACCTGTATGTTTTGAAATTAATCTGTGAATTATTTGAGATATTTTTCGAGCGTTTCAATTGCCGCGAGATTCAACTGACAGTTGTCCGAATTCATTTCTCTTTTTTTTTCATAGTATTTAATTTTATTTTATCATATAACAAGCGAAATGCGTTTTTACATAAAAGGGCGAAATGTGATTTCATAGAGAACGGAAAGAACATGATATTCCTAAACTGAATTTGCAAATTTACGGTGGAATCTGCGAATGTGATGGATTACATTTAACGGTGACCAAAATCCTGCGAAAATTAGCGATCTCTCGGTTATGAAGACTGAGGAACATCGTCGAGAACGACGTAGCGGAGAACGTGTAAGTGCTACGGGGTGACGGAAACGACAGGGGTGGAAAGAGATCCGGGATATGTAGATAACTATATGAGGGTAGGTCGTGCAAGCACGCCTCCCTCGTTCGACGGTATAAATTAGCATAACTCAGAATCGTGTTCGGTTAAAGTACCTTCTATGCGCAACCTTTATTCCCGCATTGGCCCACATGATGGGTCGCGCACGCTGCCATGACTTACCACAATACACTTTACAGGCTTGTGTAAAATATCCCGCGTTGCTTGCGCGATAGTAATCCCTAAACCGGCAGAAATTTTATAACTGACTTCGCTGCCTAATTGTTCGTTACGGAATTTTAATGCGCAGCGTGGAACTTGTTTCACGAAGGAAAATCGATATCGTAAAATTATCGTGCGTTTATATGCGGCGACGATAGAAACGAGCCGACAACGGTTTTTTATCGCAATATGCGTAAAAAATACAGATTAATCGCAATATATTGCATATATGATCCTCTAGAGCCTTAGATTATTTTAAATAATTTATTTTTAGGACGGAATATCGTGCCGTTTTATTCGCAATGGTAATCGCTGTCGAAATAAATTCGGTTACATAGAATATGGACATGGTGCGAAGCAGCCAGGGGAATCATGCAAGCTTCAAACAGCTCAAAAGACCATTATTGATTTTAATTTTGAAATTAATTTTCGCAACAACGACGCTTTGTGTGAATAAATATCATTCTACAATTTGGATTTATATTCTCGCACAAAGGATCACTTTATATTTCGGTTGTATCGCCGCAGTATCCTGTTATGCTGTTTTACAATTAAAGGGATATTCTACTTGATCGGGTCAAAAAATGAATTTTTTTTACATTAAATTGAGTTTTTACATATTCCGATAGTCTAAAGTCTTGAGAATGTATTTGTGAAATTTTTGATGAAAATTGGAAGAAATGTCTGAGACTGCCTAAGTTATAGGCCGTAGATAAACGATATATATAATAGTTGTTTTATTATTGCAAGATAAATGTAGCTATTTTAGCGAGAAATCAAAAGTTTCATTTTTGAAAAGCCGTTATTTTTTCAGTGTTTGTATTAAACCATTGGTTGTAGTCCATTTTATGGCCACACTCATATTGATAGAGAAAATTGTTTATTTATTTGTTTCGGATTTCACGCAATGGCTCTCAATCAGTTCCACGAGGTAGAGTTATTTTTATTGGCAGTCTTTATTTTATCACTATCTATAATCGTTTCAGCAATTAACATGAGATATTACACTACACTATTATAAAGTACAAATGTTAGTAAACATTTCTAAAAAACAAATTCATCTCGATAGCTTTAATAATTTTCCTACAGCACTTCTTTGAATAAACGTCACATCATTGGACCGACAAGATAGAATGTACCCCTTTAATAAATATATTTTTATTATTTAATGGGTTATAAAATATACAGAGCATCTGCATATCTTGACAACAAAGACAACATATACACGATACAACCGCAAAGTCGGCAAATCTCACTGAGATACACGCCATCCTCGGATCTTTATCGAACGCTCACGCCGTGCCGGTAAGGGTGCTTAGTACAACGCCGTCTAAATTAATTCGCGACAATAAAGACGATGAGCGCCGGCGCCACAAGAGCCTGCGTTTCTTGAGTATGAACATTGACGACGGTGAAGCGCGCCGAGGATTTAATAGCACCTCGTAAACTCCGTTTAGGGGTTACACCATGGTGTCGTAATACGTGATCGGTCCGCGTGACTCCGAGAGATGGATTCGTGTTGAAAATACAAAATTCACGTTCCGTATCCCCCATCGATGAAATTGATCTCACCTTACTCGAGATTCCTTGGTAAATTCAAGAGGTCTCATTCTTTCTCGCGCGCTCATTCTATCACGAGGCAGTTTCCCTAAAAGCTTTGCACCATCCGTAAAGATTTGGAACCCCATTCGAAAACCAAAATTTAATGAAAACGGTGCATTTTTAAGCGTCTAACATTGTCGTCCTGTCCAATTTATTACTTTTTGGCGTTTGAATTGAAAAATTCTCTTCGGCTGCAAAAAATTGTAAGGAAGTTACACTGAGAGAAAAATATAGTTATTTTCATGGGCAACAATATCTTTTTCTGTTTTAATCACAAGAATAATATAGCAACATGCATTTAAGGTTATTATCACTGATTAATAACACTTACTAGAAAAATAGTTTTTTTGACCATTTTAAACTTCTAAACTAAAATTAAGAATTTGATAAGAAACTATGATATTAAAGATTAATATGCAGATATTATGCGCAAATTTTAGAATTATTCACTATTTTGTTTTAAAAATACAGCGAACTTGAGTTGAATATGAGTTTATATTAATACTTGAAATACATATGCACATATTTAAACACTTAAATACCTCTTTCTATTAAATTAACTGCATTTCTATTAAATTAACTGACGCATAAATATAATATTAATTAGAAAAATAAAAAATAATATTATTTTTGTATTTGTATAATATTGTATATATCTACATATATGTTTATACTTTATACTTTAATATAGTTTCATGCGTTAATTTAGTTTTATACTTTAATTTAGTTTCAAATTAACGTTTATTATTTAGATAGTGAAATAAATATACAGGAATGTAATTTTGCTTGATAAATACTAAAATTTTGAGTGGTCTCCTTGATTCACCACTAAAAAATATGACACTAATGGACAATGCATCCTTAATTTTCTAAATGTTTCGCCACTCGTTAGACGTTCTTTTAAATTTTGTCCAATGTGGGCGCTCCAAAATATTGAAATTACCTTTTTATTTGATTTCATTCGAGATTTAAGTTAATTTAATTTAAAATTCTCTTCGAGAAAAATAGAGAGGAAGAGTTGGGGAGGGGGGAGGGGGAAGAGAGGAGGAGGGAAATAGAGGGAACAAACGGTCTGTTTCTCGTCGTAAAACATTAAAAAAGCCATTTTTCTAAAGGAGTGNTTAATTAATTTATGTTTAATTATTTAATGTATATATTATTTGAATGTTGCACTTTTTTTCTTTCAATGTGCTACGTTCAAATAATATTTACTTAATTTAACTAAAATAAACTACTCCAATAGTAGTCCTTAGCATATATTTACTTGAACGTAGCCATTTTTTCAGTGTATACATTTATTTATTTTACTTTCTAAATATTTATTTTACTATTTAAATATTAAATGTTAATTTGAAACCAAATTAAAATATATAAATATATATGTAGATATATACAATATTATACAAATACGAAAAGAATAAAAAATTTTTTCTTTCAGTGTGCAACATTCAAGTGATATTTACTTAATCCAAATAAACTAAATTACTCAAATATTCTTTAACACATATTTATTTGAAGATAACAATTTTTTTTAGTATATAAATAGAATTTTGCTTAATGGTAAATACTATATATATGAGTGTCCCCTTTAATGCATCACTAAAATTACTACATGAGTCTAAAAATAAGACATTAAACCTTACAACCTCCTTAAATGACGCGTGGAAAGATGAATCACAATCATGTAACTACGATCGTCGCAATTATTTAATGAAAACAACGACGAACAAACTGATTACTGGCAAGATTGCGAGTCGGCTGGTCCGTGTTGTATCTTCGAATACATCGAGATATCTACGCGATATCCATTCACGTGAATCGTATATCGTTCTGTTGATCTTTTGAAACTACCGCTATTTCATTCCGCACCTCGCCGCCGCCGTAGTTTGTCTTACTGCACAGCAATTCGGGGGAGGATATTTATTTTCCGCGAACATAAAGGGAAATTCTCCGCATCGAGTATATCTACGGTAACGATCGTTAAACTTGCTTAAGACACGGTCTGCTGTAAACATCGGTGTCCGACTACAGCTGGGCGATAAAAACGAAGGATATCGGTCGTTAAGAATTAACGATGCGGACACGGAACAGGAGATCCCTCGCTAATTCCGGCGGATTATAGAAGAGCGACGATAGTGTCTTCTAAACGCGTGGAAAATCCTTTTTTCTCTTCTTCTTTTTTCTTTAGACTAATACCGAACACCAGTGCCTATACTAGATGGCACACGAGCACGTGCTCGCAGATAGTCCGCGATCACGCCTCGTCAAGATTCTCCCTTTTCTCGTGCACACGTTCATCACGTTGTTAAGTCCCGCGAATAGAGTAATCAAGGATAAGTCAATATTATACGATACAATACGCTTCAATTACCTCCGCGGGCTCACAGCCGAAGCCTTATTCTCCCATTGATCCAGTTACGTGATAAGTTGAGGGTTGCGCAGGTCTATAAATGGATAAATATAGGCGGCGCTCGTCCGCAACAATTCTGTATTCCCTGGGCACCAGAAGTGCGGACATTGTCGTTAATACAATAATAACAGAGCCGGCCGGGCTACCACGCTGTTCGTCTGAAAATCCTGCGGGGCTTCCACGCACGACCGAATGTACATGGTGCGTTAAGAGGATTCCGACCCTCTTTGACCACTACCTATTCGTCAGATCGTTATAGAGTCACTTTTTCCCTGCGTCCACCTCCCGCTGGGAATACCATTGATTGCCTTCAACAATTGATATGGAAGTAACGTCGATCCGTCCACACGGGGTTTACCGGCGAGCTTATTTCCGGACACGAAATTTTCTATGATTTATTCTCACCGTGTTATCATGTGTTATAATTCTAACATAGACCGCGTATCGAAATTAGTGTAATCAAAGTGGAGCAATTGTCGCGTTGCCGCTGCTCTGAATACGGAGATATAAATTGGCATAATAGCCTTAACACTTAAAGTAATCATTTCCAGAAGAAATCTGTACTACGTTCTAGAAAGGCATAATTTCATGCGTTAAAATAATTGGCCCGTAAATTGATTTTCACAGGAATCTTTTCAAATCTGAACGGCATATTAATCGGAATATGAATAATCTACATATACGCATAATTAGAAAAAATTAACCATATCAAAGCTGAGATAATTGAAATCAATGTTAGCGCTATTTATGCGTGCACAGATACAAGAACGGTTTTTGATATTACGTTTGTAAATCTAGCAACCAAATTTAGCAATACTTTTATGGTTTAATGAAAAATGAGAAGATAATTAAAGAGACTTGTATGATTAAAATATTTTATGACATATGATGTATGATATGTTATACATCACATATGTTATCATCATATATATAATAAGACTTGTATTAATTAAAGAGACTTTGAGAAATGTTATAAAATTTATAAGATTATTCTACTTTTCCAGAAATTGATATATAAAATACACCGTTTTTGATAACGGTTGAAATATATGACAGCTATGTCAAGATTTGGCAAATATTATTCATGCCACATTTCGCTTTGTACATCGTGGTTAGACATATTTTTAAAGATAAAATATAATCTTAAGATCTATAATCAGTCAGTAAAAATGTAAAAAATATGAAAAGATACGGAAAGCCTCGATGTCACAATTATTTCTCTAGTAGCATGCATTCATGTGTATTAGTCGGAGAGGAGATACCTATGATATATTCACAAATGTATGCTTAACAGTGGGCAGTCTCGATCAAAAATATTATACGTCGAAACATGAGAAATGATTATTTCTTTAGAAGATTTCTAAGAATTTCAACATTACGTAAATTTGATTGACATTTTTGTGTTATAATATGTCAAAACTATAATATCATATTATTAATTTTATAAACATTCGGCATAGATTTTTCATGCTTCTTGTTGTTGTATTGACCGACCATTGACCATTACCTTTCTAATAATATTGGCACGGGTCAACTATTTTAAGGCTATCATGCCAATTTGTGTGTGCAAACGAGCTCACATCTGTCATTTTAAAACTTACCGAAACAAGCAGTGCTGCGGCGCGTCTTGAAAAGTATCTAGAATCGTCGTTCCACTTGGCTTCAAAAATAGACCTGCAAAATAAACAGTGTACGCGTACGGTAGATGGGTTTTTTCATCGTCACCATAGTATTATACGTCTGTCGACGTGCTAAAATGAACGGATTAAGACTGTCTCGTGTTGCTGTTGCAAAATGAATAATGGAAACAAGAATTCATGTCTGAACGGAGTCTACGTGTTTTTCCATGGTGGAATTTTCAAATTTGCCGCGTCCTATTTCGACCGCGTTTCCCATCGTCACGTCTACCGCTTTGGGACATGCGACATAGAATTTATGGTAATTTCAATGCCAACGTACGTGCACAGTCGCGTTATTTCGGGGCAAGGAGTAAACCGGGCGCGAGCAGATAGATCTTTCTCGCGCTTCGCAAAAATTCCACGCGTTACGTTACATCACACGCGATATCGCGAGGCACTTTCGCTGATTTTAACGCGTGCAAGTAACTTAAATCGAGACAGCCATTTCGATTTAGGAGTTTACTTTACGACATCAAGCAGTATATATTTCCGCGCGGTAAGGAACACCGCGCTTCGACGCCGGGCGCTTAAACACTTACCTCTTGATTGAATGCCAGGAACGACAGAGATCGTAAAGAAGGTTTAGTGCCAGAACAGTAACGCCGGTCTCCTTTGCCAACATCGACAGCGCGCCCAGGCAAACGCTGGACCATACGTAAGCCGTCTGCTGTCTGCGAGAGAGAAACAAATTCGAAATTTAGTCAGTATCTCGTGCAATTAATTGTCGTAGAAGCAACAATCAAGTAAATTCCACGTGCTTGATTTTTCGAAAGACGCCGCCGATTAACAACATTACTTTGATCTCTTCAGATTTCTCCGCAAATATAGCAATTACAGTCCTGAGGTAGTCAATGATTATAGCCAGACGCGAGATTGACGCGACTCGGACATGCGAACGTCTACATAACGATCGTATCGATTACGATGCCTCGTAATTTCTTTTTATCGTTAGAAAAAAGTCGTCGGAAAAAAGGCACATAATATATAGCACGGCTTATACGACACAAAAGTGATACGCGGTCGTTTGCGATCTCGAACTTTCCGTGTGGAACTTCGCTACAAAAGCGAACAGAAGGAAATAATTATTATAAATAAGAATAACCTTTAAGATCCTAAGGGTGGGACTTTTTGTACGACCATTAAACTGTACTTATTCACACACAGACATATTTCGAGAAATTCTATTGTTCTCCTTGCTGATCGAACGACAGTATTAGTATCGAGAAACAATCCTCGGCAGAAACATCGATCCAAAGACACGCAGGATTTACTCGTTTACGTCGTTCCGCGTATACATCAATCTACGTCGAGTGACAGATCCGTTACAAGACGTCGTTCGGGATTTTAGATACAATGGGGACCGATGCGAAACCGGTCCGCCGAGACGAGACCGTAGCTTCTCCGTGACTTATACGTAAAAAACGTGGGAGGGGTAGAGGAGCCGCGGCAAAATGGAAGTGTGTTTCGTGCAATTTACATCAAAGCTTCCTAAGTAAGATTAATAGTAACTCGCCGCAGCAACGGCGGAGAGTGAACGAGGATACACCCAACCCACCGTAGAGGGACGTAAAGCGGTCGAGAGTCGAGAGAACGACGAGAGTCTTGACGGTAAGCCAAATGTATAATTGGAATTAATCATCGGCCGCTTAATCGCCGAGGGATTTAAACGCGAAGCGTAAACGGCCGAGGAACGAACGGAGCCAACTGTCGGAAAGAAAGAGAGAGAGAGAGAGAGAGGAAAGTTGAAAGGACACCGGTTAGATGAAATAAAAAGAGAGAAAAACAAGAGGGAGAAGAGACGGAGGAAGAAAAGCATAGAGCATAGGCGACGAAGCAAAGGTGGAGGAAAACGAAGGAGTACTCAAAGGCAGCCAAGAGTAATCAATTTCCCAGGTTCGAAGACAAGCACCTTACCCTTCCACCTCACCCTTCCAACCATTGACCGTCCGACGCTAGTCCTACAGACGGATTTTACCTTCTTGTCTTCCGCAACCGTCCTTTTATGTCGGAGCACGACCTCCGCGAAAGCTTTTTACGTCGGTGGTCGAACGGAAAGTTCGTCTCTAGATTTTTCGTCGCGTCAGGCTCCGGCGTCGCGCAGAACAGTACATATACGGAATCTGTTTCACCGTTCGTTCGCACCGCCGGGAGTTCCCACGGTTAATTAAATTTATTCTAGAAATAACGGCCGGCTGGTATAACATCGCGCGCAAATGTAAAGTGAACATTACGGGGGGGGTAGGAAGCAACGTCTGTCTTCGGCGAAGAAAGACACACAGCTGTGGAATTGCGTCCCACACGTACATATAAAGAGAGCGTTTCTTCTTAGCTCTAACAGTGAAGATTGATGCGAGCGACACGAGGCACGTTCACGAACCTGGGAAACGCTCCCCGCGTGGTAACTATAGCGCCGGCAGTTTGCCGGGTAAATTAGTTTAGTTTATAATTTTCGGGCTCTATGTTCATGAGAACGAATGACTCGCTATTTCGGCGTCAGCCTGTCGGGTCGTCGCGACCTTAAGCGCCGCTTGACACTCTTGACGTATGCGCAGCCAGTAAGTTTTCCCAGTTTACAGGAGGGTGTCCCACATTTACGTTGTACACGGTGCTTGTGTGTATGTATGTTTGTGTGTGTGTGTCGCGTGGGCACATATATGTGTGTAGTTCCTAACTCATTAGATAATACATAATACGCGAAGCAGCGCGAGAGCGCTGAGTTTTTTCTCTTTTCCGGCAAAGTTAGCTCCCTCCCCCCTTCCCCGGCCCCCCAAACTCTCTTCCGTGCAACTTGGAAAATTTACAGTTCTTGTGTATCGCGGGGATGGAAAGATTCGCAGATAGAAATTCATCGGCAAGTATTAGAGCGCGAATTATATCTAAAGAGAATCCGGTTCCGACTCCGTGTCTGAGGGGTTTGAGCGATTAAACTGTACTCACCCGTGATAGGCGAGGAAGGACAACAAAAAGAAGATGCACGCTAGAACGTCCGCTCTGCCGACGATGCCAGTCACCTGCAACATGAAACGATGCAAAATATAGTAATAACGATATCGCGTCGGTCACAGCTATGCACACCTATGCGCGCGTTCTAATACCTGCATGCCGGTACTATCAGATAACTCGAGCGCGCGCGCGTTTCAGCTCGGCCTCGGAAATCTTATTCACTCAACAAGTTGCGGTTGATATGAGAATATTCTTCGCCGGAATCGTTTTTATCTTAAGACGCGAGAAGGTTTGAAGTAAAAGAGCAGCGATAGGGGAGGAGGGGGAGGGGGGAGACACTACGGCCCAGATCTTTCCGGAAAATACGAAGCGACAGCCTGATATTGGATTTAGCGGTGTAAAACGAGAAAGCTGATCTGGAAGATGTGTGAAGAAGCCAACCCAAAGATCTCCTTCATGGTAAACGCGATGACGGGCGAGACGAGCGAGTACATAAAAGTGCGAAAGAGAAAGCGACGCGGAGCGGGCGGGGGGTTAAGATTGTCCAAGTTATCGACAGACCGGCGCGAGTGAATAACCGAGGTTCTCAAGGATCAACTCAAGCTAGGAAAGCCGAGCTGCTAGCGGAAACTGGGTTTACTCATCTCCCCTCCTTCCCTAGGTTTCCCCCGCTACATCCTTCCTTTCCGCCTACTGGGCCGGAGTGTACCAGGTGTACCTCGAAAATTTACGAACCCCGTCTATCACGAAGCGAAGCGGCGAATCTCCCGTCTCTTAACGAATTAATTCCCGCGAAATCGCGGGAATACGATTTGCGAGAGACGCGGAAGCTCGCACGACGGTGAGAAATCAACGGATTCCCGGTATAAGGTTCTTTCCGAGGGAACACGTTTGGATTCCGTTTCCGTAAGCCGACGAATAATTTTCTCAGCGTCTTATTAAGCGAAATTCATCCGAGGCGCGCCGAATGTATCTGACGCGAAACAATGATCTCTCTCTCTCTCTCTCTTTTTCTCTCGAATTAACCATCCGTTAGATGCGATAAATTGAATGAACTCGCGTGTTTTAACAGCTCGATACATAAGCGTTTAAGATAATCCACGATAACGTGGCGCGTAAACCGTTAAACGGATCATCATCGAGCGGGTTGTTAATATCGCATTTAGCGATACATTGTCCTACGATGCGTTTGACAGATAGTTCAAAGATGCATTGAAACGAAGCCCATTAGCGACACTAACATTATCATTGAACCGGGAAACTGTAATTATAGATACGCGAGACATTGATGAATATTCTCTCTTTCGGCGGCGCGGGAGGGGGCTGCAATTAATCATTCAATTACAGCAAAACAGCGCGAGGGAGGTGTCACGGTTAGCATTTATCTTCCAAATTTGGCGCGAGTCGTACAGAACGCGCTTACGAAATACCCGCGAGAGACACGTGGAATGCACTTTTGACAGGAACGCGGAGGCAAGGAAGGCCGGAAGCCGTACTTTGAGCCGTACATCACGTCGCTCTTGTATCGCACGGTTGATCGAATACGCGAGCATTCAAACAATGTCCCGCGGAAGATAAACACTGAGTTGACGTTTCATTACAATCCCGTCCTTTTTCGCCGTATCTCCCTCTCCTCGCGCTCTCGCAGGAAGTGGACCCGAAGGAAATCTTGCTCGTGGAAACAATACTCCGTCAACGTCAGGGGGAATGAGAGCCGAGTCCGAGAAGCGGACTCTGCAAGCAGCAAGGGGCTATAACCGAAGGGTCTGTTTAAGATAACAGAGATTACGCTGACCACTTTGCGATAGATTCCTTCGCGCGCGCCTCTACGGCACCTTCCGGATTTATGGCAAGTGGGATAATGGCCAATCCCGAAAAGGGTAAGGAGAGAGGGGAGGCGGCAGAGAACGATTATCCTAAATGCGAATGATGGAATGCCGTCGCACGATGGGGAAACCGCCGCAAAGTGACACGAGGAGTAAACGGACGATGAAACCAGTGTATCAGGTATTGATAGTCGCGTGGAGCCCGATTCGATTCTTCGCCCATTGATTTCTCTTCGCAGCTACGCTTATACCTCGGTCATCGGACGTGTACTATTTTTTATTCCCGTTGTTGCCGACGTAAGCATTTGTCTCTTGAAAATAGGAAATATAGCGAGCTAAGTGAGGTATCGCACACACGCAGTCACGACTCCACGGATTTATAACACGGCGGAGATGTCGGCGGAGGTTGATACGTTCCGTTCGGCTCGACGCTAGTTTGCTCCAGTTTGTACTTAGCCGAACTCCATTACCATCTCACTCGTTCCGAAGTTCTAATTGATTATATGAAGCGTTGCTTCCTTGCGAGTTCGCTCGTTATTTCAAGATAGCTCGAAGTCCTAGTATTCTTTAAGTTCCTCCTTAATTGTTCCTTCTCCTTGTATCGACGCGCTCCTTTTTCATCTCGCTTCCGAAGTCATGGACTTTTATTAATAGATATTAGCCATCCTCCGAGAGACCAGAATCGAAAGAACCACGCGAATTTTACGTGGAATGAAATTTTACAATGTTAATAAAATATTATCGTTTCCAAATCCTCATTTATTCATTAACATAAGTTTAATTTAAAATTTAATTTAATTTACAAATTACATATTCTCGTATTTCTCAAAAATAAATTTATCGATTAATTATCTTAACTCTTTAACGGCTGAGTTATTTGTAATAGTTTCACTAATTAAATTAATGGTAGATCGAACTTAGCAGATCTCAATATGTGAAAAATAATTTTGTCATAATTTTCGTACCTCATAAACTATTCTTATATGCAAAAGCTGCTTTTCAGAATTAATTTCCACCCTTATGGTTGTTAGAACAGCTTGTATTATGATTTAATCGTTTCTTTATATATAGATTATTGATTATTTAATATTGTTCTGCAAAAAATAATGTATTCAAACATTAATTCAAATTTATTTGATATTTTGTTTTAATTTCCAAGAATGATTTTCAGTTTATTATCACCACTAAAAGTAGTTTTTTACAGACCTTTTTCGTATGTAATCTTGATTTTAAAACAATTACATGAACCGAAGTTAAACAAAAACATTCTACCTCAAAGTTGTACTAATTTTCTCTTTTTTTAATTTTGGCACTTTTTGTACAGCCGAAGGGATGTAACCCTCAGGCGCGCCAATTTTCTCGCGATTAGTTTTATCCTTCTTCTTTAAACCTTAATGAAGGTGATGTGTTCATTTTGTAGAAGTTTACAAATTTTTCAAAATGTTAGTACACGTGTGTCACTGGTCATCAAAGGGTTAAGAGTCATTGACAATCCTCGTTGCGCACGCGTGCACACACACACATAAACAGCGACCTAAGATACGAGTATTCGTTATTGTCGCGTTGCAATTAATTTCATTCTTGTATGCGGAGACGAATTAAACACGTTTATGCCCGTAATATCAATATTCCCTCAAATTAATTAATATCATCATTCAGCGCGGTAGACCGCAGGCAACACAATAGAGGAGAAAAGTACTGACACATATCAGCGATGACACCGTGCAACATCGGTGTATTAATGCACGTTAAATTTCCGAGCGAGAGCAATACGGTCTCTCTCTCTCTCTCTCCCTCTCTCTGTGTGCGCGCGCGCGTGTGTGTGTGTGTGCGTTGGTTCACATCACAATCGTTGGTCCATTGACGGAGGATAATTTTCTACGATAGGAGCGCCGCGAGTCTAACTGCTCTAATTAACTTATTCGAATATTTCGCGGTCGGATGAAGCAAGTAAGTGAATCAAATTCGTTATTTTAATATCACATCCCGCTGCACCGCACGACTCGGTTAATCATACACTGCTCATACGTGTCGCGTGACACTCGTTACGGTTACATCGCGCGAAATTGCCGGGCAAGCGGGCAAAGCGCGAAGACGGGCGCGGCTCTGTCCTTCGGGCGACGTTAATATTCCCGAGCTCGTGGCGTGAATTCGTTCTGGCCGTGTGATATAAAATTAAACGCTCGTGCACAGCGTACACGGCATACCACTACGAGGCAAGACGCATGCTCGTCTCAATTCGCGGCATGCGGAATCCTCCGCGGAGATAGAGGTAGGAAACACTCCGCAGCAGCCGGAACGATCGCGGCAGCTTCATGTTTAATTTGGCCTGAAACCGAGCTCTGCGGGTAAACTCACTTCGCCTCGAACGTACGTACACCGCGTCCCTTTCAGGGCGCGCGCTCCTCGCGAAATTCATCCCTTGCGCGGAAAACCGACACGAGGCGAGGCTGATTCGGCCCTCTTTCGCCGGCGAAATACGCCGATCGTGGCAACGACGTCGTAACCGCGAAACGACAGCTCGGTCACCGGGCTTTTCGCTCCTGCGCGGATTAAGTCGCGTGGACGAATCGAGGCGCCCCGCGCGCGTGAAAACACCCTCCCGTGAAGTACAACGTCCGAGAAAGAGGCGTCTCGTTTAAAACGTACACGGCAGCGTGATTACCTTACGTGGTAACAACGAGTCAACTACAATAAACGCGCAAGGCGCGGTGAGGCGAAACGTGGCGAGACGCGAGTAACAACGGGGTTGACTGGGAAACCGGGGGAGTGCTTTCCATTTACAGTTAACCGTACGTAGACCGGACTTGATAAGCTTGGGATTGCGATACGGGAAACCGAAAGGTATTATATTTGGAAAGCAACTCGACGAGATTAAGCTGTATATTATACTGTATTGTTATTCTCCCCTGAAAAGGAATTATCGCTAAAATATAATATACCTGTGCGTTACGTACTTTGGCACGTAGGGGAGGCCGGGGCTGAATGGTCTCAGGGGTATGTTGCGTATCTTGAGAGGAACAGTGAATATAAAATCATGGAATGATCCTTTTGGAACATAGATACTTTTCTCTGAGTGTCATTAAACTCGGGATGATATTACGATAAAAAAAAAAAACTGATTTAGTAGTACATCGAGAAATAGATTTCTTTAAATTTCATCAATTTTATCGCATCCAAACAAATTTCATCATTGGCATGCTCTAAAGAAACTAATGTTTCGATTAATAAATATGGTTGTT